AATTGATAAAAGGAATGAAACATTTTAGTTATGAAGAAAGGTTAAAAATTTAAATCTGTTTAGTTTGGAAAAACGGCACCTGAGAGGGCATATGATAACATTATACAAATATATTTGAGGCCAGTACAAACCTTTAGAACAAGACACACAGAGAAGATAGAAATTAAGAAAAATCGTCTCCACTCCGTGCAGTTTAAGTGCAGCGCTAATTTAAAATAAAGTCAACTCACCCTGTTGATATTGATCGGGTGGTTCAACTTAGTTGGACATATATGAAAAAACACAAGTAGAGAATATATAGTGCAGGGTTGTTTTAAACCACAAACTGGAGTTATCTACTTAATGGCACACTCACATGGTAATGAGCCTTTTTAGAAACAGGCTCTAAACTTTCCGGCTGGTATGTTATAGGGTAACATACACCCCCTTTTTCTGGATCTCTTCCCCGGTCACAATTCCAATATGTATGATGGAGAAAGGAAAGAAAAGGATCTCTAAGTGAGATCTGCAGGTTTAAAAACACAATTCTAGATAATATAAAATTGCTCACCTGACTCAGAGCCTTCCAAACTGGCTCTGAGTTTCAAAAGTTTGTGTCAAATAAAGGGTGACAACCCCTTCTTGAACCTGGGCAACACCAAAGACTGGATCCACTTGTTAAACGGAAATGCACAAAAAAGTGCTATTTAATATGATTAAAATTAAAATTGAATGCAATTCAAATGCAAATAAAAATACATGAAATACAAATAAAAGAAAAATATATAAAAAGTCCGTTTAGATCCTTCCGAAACACGTTTCACCTATCCTGTAGGCTTTTTCAATCGGCATGGTGTTGCTTCCTGGTTCCAGTATTTACATCATCAGTATGAGACTTCCTCTTCAACTCTGATCCTATCAGAATGCGTCCTTGTGTCTGACTCCTCCCCTTCACAGCTTAACTCAATGATATTACTGCATTGAATCATCTACAGATGGGCAGGACTACATCTCCAAAAATGCATTGCGGCCGCATTGTTTGGTCACTTCCGGTACAGCAGAAATGGCAATCCCATCATACTTAACAATACTATAGCGAATTTCGCTCAAAGTCAAAGGAGGGAGGAGAGAAAGATAATATAACATCAATGAATAAAAAGTTATTAAATCAGGCTAATGTAAAATAATGAAGAGATGTGACTCCAAACTTCACCAATATATATGTATGATACCTCACTATATATAATAAAAAAAAAAATGTGGAAAAATGTCCAATGTATAGCCATGTACAGTGCAAAAATCCCTAATATTAGATCAGAAAAAAAAAAATTTAATTCAATATGGATCTGACACAGATATAATAAGCCTTTTGACTAAGTGTAGGTTTTAACAGGGATCTAATAGGTCACTTCTAACCTGAATTTGATCAGGCAGAGGCACAGTGGGTCACAAGAAATGGTACAACTCAAAGTCCACATTGAGACCATGCGGGACCAGAGTACCCAAATCAAAGATCCACCGCATCTCCGCCTGACCCAATTTCTTTATTATGTCATCACCCCTCCAATTGGGGTGGACTTTTTGAATAGCAAAAAAAGTCAAGAATTGTGGATCGTGGTTCCTTAAAATGAGACGAAACACTATGTTGCATAAATCCTTTCTTGATATTGCGAACGTGTTCGTTTATCCTTATATATAATGGACGTTTTGTTCTTCCTACATAGTATAAATTACATGTACACTGAAGTACATATATGACTTGCTTAGTATAACACGTAATCATATTTTTTATCTTATATTTCTTTTTCCCCTGAGGATGTAAAAAGGTGGTCACGCTTCTCTTGCTACTCCCTGTCCGTCTGCACGATATACATAGCCCACATCCAAAGAAGCCGTCTTTATGTAAAAAGGTTTTTGGCTTATTGTCATTTTTTATATGGTTTTTAACTAGTTTTAATGCCAGATTTGGGGCTCCCCTATAAATGACTTTTGGCTGTTCTGGTAATAAATTATACAATATGGGATCAGCCCTCAATATTGGCCAAAATTTTGTAATAATCCGTCTAACTTGTTTGCTCTTCGAGTTAAAGTTACATAGGAAGGGAATATTTTGATTTGTATTGGCATTTTTGCTCTTATACTCCAAAAGTTTTGGTCTTTCCTGAGATTTTATTTCTTCTATTGTACTTTGCAAGATATCATTATTGTATCCCTTTTCTAAGAAGCGGCTTTTCAATTTATTTGCTTGAACATTATATGTTGTTACATCAGTACAGTTTCTTCGTATCCGAAGGAACTGTGACTTTGGGATGTTTAAAAGCCACGGTGAGAAATGGCAGCTTTGTAAATCTATATAATTATTTACATCTACCAACTTGAAGTGGGTTTTTGTTTTTATAATGTCTTCTTCGATGTAAATTGTCAAATCCAAAAAATTCACACTCTGTCTACTGTACTCTGCTACCAAATTGATTCCCCAATTATTAAAATTTAAATATCCCAGAAACAGTTGAAGAGTCTCCTCTGGACCGTCCCAAATAAAGAAAATATCGTCTATGTAACGACGATAGGAAACGAGGTTTGCACTCCAGTCCGCGTTATCCAAAATAAAAACATGCTCCCATAGAGCCATAAAAAGATTCGCATAACTGGGTGCAAACCTCGTTCCCATCGCCGTACCGACTATTTGTAAATAAAAGTCGTTGGAAAACCAGAAAAAGTTGTTACATAATATAAGGTGTATGCCTTGAATAATAAAATCTATTTGATCTTGATGGTACAATTCAGACTGTTCTAAGTGGAATCTTACTGCCTCCTCTCCTCTATTATGAGGAATAACCGTGTAAAGAGAGCTCACATCAGCCGTAACTAATATGTAGCTCTCCTTCCAGGTCACATCTCGTAGAGTCTGAAGTATGGTTATGGTGTCCTTGAGGTGACTTGGGGTTTGTTGGACAAGGGGTTGGAGGCAGTGGTCTATATACTCCGATAGTCTACTGGAAATTGAATTGATTCCAGAGACTATCGGACGTCCTGGTGGGGCAACAGGATGTTTGTGGATCTTTGGGAGGTGGTAGAGCACTGGGACTCTTGGATGTTGGATGTTTAAATAACTATATTCTTGATCATTAAGGATCCCTTTGTCTCTACCAGCCCCAAAGAAACTCCTGAATTTGGTTTCAATCTCTTGTGATGGATTGCCAGGGAGTCGGAGATAGGTAGTTGTATCTCCCACCAATCTCAGACCCTCCTGGAGATATTTATCTACATCCATCACAACTATCCCCCCCCCCTTGTCCGCAGGTTTGATCACTATGTTTTGATCTTTTTGCAATTCCTTCAGAGCTAACCACTCTTTTTTGTTTAAATTCCTATTACTGGTTTTAGTCTTAATATTGTTAATTTCCTGCATAACTGCCTTTTCAAAGCTTATCATTTCATCAGAAATGAAATTATGCGGAAAAAAGACAGATTTTTCCTTGAGTGCCGTATGTACGAACTCAGATTGAATAGTCTCTTCATTGAGATGTCTATCATTCCTCACAAAACATTTTTTCAGACATAACTGTCTCTTAAATTTGTTCAAATCAACATACATCTCAAATCTGTCTAGTTCTTTAGTCGGGACAAATTTTAATCCCTTATTCAGAACTGAACTTTGGGCCTCTGTTAAAACCTTACTGGACAAATTAAAAATTAATGGTTGTAATGTGTCCAGTCTCTTTTCGCTTTTCTTAATTCTCTTTCCTCCTCTAACTCCCCTTCCTCTATACTCCTCCTTCTTTTGTATGGAGAGTCGAGGCGTGGAGATCTCCTCCAAGTGGGGGCAAAAGTCTTGTGTTTGTCTTTTGGTCTCTCGTTTTGAAAAAAAGTTTCTGGCTCCCTATTTAGGACACTAAACCTATTGTGGGAGATGACTTGATTTTGAGAGTTTATATTGTGATGAAAAATGGGGGATTTTGATCTTTGATTTTTTTCTTTTTGTTTTGGCCTATCCAATCGTCTGGAATCCTGATGTGAAGTGGATGGATATTCCATCCCTTCCCTTACTGGATTCTCCATACGTTTTGATTCATGGCGAGGAGTCAGAGCATATTCTTTTTTGTTTCTCATTGATGGTTTCCTTTTTCTAGATGTATTATGGTAATAGGCTGTTTCTCTTTCAGGTACTATATTCCTATTTCCTCTATAAGGTCGTTTATATGAATTGCTATTATACTTATCCCATGACTCTTGAGGGTATATCTCTCTCATATCTCTCTGTTTGGATTTCTGATAGGATCTGACTTGATTATGATCAAAGTCAAATCTGTCTCTTTTATATTTTTTCTTTTTAATTTCTATAGTCTCTCTTTCAATCCTATTTAGAATATCTTGAATTTCGTCAGTAATTTTCTGGTATTCCTCGCTTTTTGTATGTTTAATAAGCAACTCCTGCATCTCATTAATCTGTTTATCTAATTTAATCAAAGTCACATTTCTT